TTGTTGTGAGATTTTTAGAAGGGTTTGTTGTGAGGAAGATTTTTAGAAGGGTTTTTGGGGAGGGAGAAGAAGGAGGTGGAGAAGGAGGGAAATGGTTTTTTGAGTTTTTGATTATTTGGTATTTAAGAAAGAAAAATAGTATTTGTAATATTTTTTTAGTTTTAATTTCATTAAGGGTATTAAAGTAATTTACAATTAATTATTTATTTTTTATTTTTTTGGTATTCAAGTAAGCAAAAGTGGGGATTTGAAATAGTGATCCCCTTGCAAGAAATAGGTACGCTGTTTAAATTATGTTTCGATTGGTTTATTTTGTGTGTTTATTATTTCTTTCTGTTTCATTACAATTGTTGATGGGCTGATGCGGCGTGCATTTTTCTTGCCATTTTGATGATACAATAATCTTTTTGGGGTTATAAGTTTTCTGGGTTTTCTTCAAGAATCTATTATAAAAATTCTAATACTGTTTTATCGAGATTCCAAGATTCTATTATTCTGTATGGATGCTGTTTGTCTTTTTTCCCATCATGATTATGCATATTCAATTTGATCCACACTTTAGTATTTGGGTGTATTTTGTTTTACTGTATGTTCGGTTTCGGTTTCGGTTTCGGGTTTCATAGAGATTCTATAAGGGCTTTCCTAAGAAAGAATGACGTTAGTTAAGTTCGATCTAACATCGGAATTATGAATTTGGTTGCCATTGAGTTTTGTACTTTTTTTCGGTTGGACGAAACGTTCGAGATGTAAGCCTCGATTAATAAGTTTCTTGATTTTGCCGTATTCCCAGATTCCGAGGAATCAATCCCATCAGGATGGCTAACCTGGGATTGTTATATGGGAGTAAAACATCGAATTCTTCGGTGATTGTGAGCTTCCGAATACCGTATTTTACTCAATGGGGGCAACAGATACTAGTATGTGGTTCTGAACGTGTACTGGGGGCATGGAATGTGAAGAAAGGCCTTCTGTTGAAGCCTTCTCACGAAGGAGACGAGCTAATATGGTCCGGTACTCTGTCAGTGCCAGCTGGATTTAATTCCGAGTACAGTTACTATGTTGTGGACGACGATAAAAATGTTTTAAGATCGGAGGCTGGGAAAACGCGAAAAATGTCGCTACCTAACGGTGTTCGAATTGGGCAGTCGGCTGAGCTTCGTGATCTATGGCAGGTGATTATTTATTTATTTATTATTTTTTTTTTGCATAATCAAGAACTGTTAATCGAGACGTGCTTTACTCAATTGCAGACTGGTTCTGATGATTTACCGTTAAGAAGCGCATTTAAGAATGTGATATTTCGTAAAAGCTGGAATCTGGAAGCTGAGAGACGAGTCGAGAAACCCCTTGAGCCAGTTCAGAATCCGTCGGATGACAAAGGTAATTTCGTTTCTCTTAAAAAATTCGATTATTTTTTGTGTTTGGGAATGTCATTATTAAGAAGTTCATTTCTACTCTCGATTGTGTCGAACAGATTCAGTCGTGGTGCAGTTCAGAATTTGCTGTCCGAATGTTGAACAAGGCACATCGGTAAGAAGGATCGTATGTACCGAATCACCCTCATGAACCTTTTGAGTTTTAATCTTATTCAATTTTTCTTTCGTCAATATTTGTAGATTTATGTGATTGGTAGTTCTTCGAAGCTGGGGAAATGGAAGATCGAAGATGCACTTAAACTCAGTTATGCCGGTGAATCAGTTTGGCTAGCTGAATCTGCATTGACAAAGGACGACTTTCCTATAAAATATCCTTTCACTTTATAAACTCATTCTCGTATGTGTTTTCCAAATTCCAACTCTGTAAACGAGACGTCTATTTCCTTAATAGCTGTTCACATACAGATATTGCAAATCTGACAAAGCTAAAAAGATTTCTGTGGAAACTGGTGGTAATAGGGAGCTTCTTGTTGACTTCTCGACTAGTCAACCCAAGTACATTATTCTTTCAGATGGACTAATGCGAGTAAGCTATTTCTTCCGTTATTTTTATTTTTAAATAAATAAAAGATTGACTGATCGAATTTTTATTGTCAGGAAATGCCTTGGAGGGGTGCTGGTGTAGCGATCCCGATGTTTTCGATAAGATCGGAAGCTGACGTGGGCGTGGGTGAGTTTCTTGATTTGAAGTTACTAGTCGACTGGGCAGTTCAGTCGGGTTTCCATTTGGTTCAGCTATTGCCGATTAACGATACATCTGTACACGGAATGTGGTGGGATTCATATCCTTACAGGTAAAACATAAACACATCAAATATATTTACTCGATGGTAAAATTCGTTATCGAATATGTATTATGAGGCACTTTCCTGCTCGTCTTGGCATGCAGCTCTCTGTCGGTATTTGCATTGCATCCATTATACCTAAGAGTGCAGGCCCTTTCAGAAAATATCTCGGAGGATATCAAGGTAATTCATTTCCTGGAAAAAGAAATGCGTGAAATTTTCGTTTTGATAATGACGTCGTTACTTTCTTCTGCAGCAAGAGATACAACGTACCCGAGAACAGCTGGATGGAAAGGTACTCGTTTCGTTTACACTTTTCAATCTTTTTTCTTCTTTAAAGAAGGTTCTTGATTATTCGTATGTTTTCTTGATTAGTTTCAATTGAGTACCCGTTTATCACAGAAAACATGATTTATGATTTTTTTGGTGTTTGTGTTTGCAGGTTGTGGATTACGAGGGTGCCATGGCTGCAAAACTTTCAATTGCCAAGAAAATTTACTCGGTGGAGAAGAAAACCGTATTTAGTTCAGTTGCTTACCAGAACTTCTTTTCCGAGAATCAGGTTAATTAAATCTGCTCATTAAAAATAATATTCAACCGTTTCTTTTAAAGCAAATTAAAATTTTTGCATTACCATTTTTCTTGCATACAGGAATGGTTAAAACCGTATGCAGCCTTCTGTTTTCTACGGGACTTCTTCGAAACTTCGGATCACAGCCAGTGGGGCCGCTTTTCTCATTTTTCCGAAGACAAGGTAAATTAATTCGTAATTACATCTTTCTAAATCTTCGATTATACCAAACTCATTAACGCTAACATTTTCTTAACCTTTTATTTTCAGCTCGAGAAACTAGTCTCGAAAGACAGCATACACTACGATATAATTGGTTTTCATTACTATATACAATTCCATTTACACATCCAGGTGACTTATTAGTGTTTTTTTTTTAAATATCTTAACCGCCAACTCAGCACTGACTGGTCAATGTCCGTTTATAACAGTTATCGGAAGCTTCCGAATATGCAAGAGCGAAAGGAGTAGTGTTAAAAGGAGATCTCCCAATCGGAGTTGACCGAAACAGTGTGGATACTTGGGTGTACCCGCGCCTGTTCCGCATGAACACCTCCACCGGTGCACCACCAGATTATTTCGATAAAAACGGACAAAACTGGGGTTTCCCTACTTATAACTGGGAAGAAATGTCGAAAGATAATTATGCTTGGTGGCGTAATCGTTTAACACAGGTGCTAAACGTGCTGAATTTTTTTTTAGTCATTTTTTTGTTCTTTTTTGTAATATAATTTTAGTTTTTTGGTTTTTGTTAAACAGATGGCGAAGTACTTCACGGCGTATAGGATTGATCATATACTGGGGTTCTTCAGAATCTGGGAGCTTCCGGAACATTCGTTGACCGGTCTTTGCGGAAAATTCAGACCATCGATTCCTCTAAGCCAGGAAGAACTTGAAAGGGAAGGACTATGGGACTTTAATCGATTGAGTCAACCGTATATTAGGCAACAAATGTTGCAGGTATATAAAAGCCTCGTGTATTTCATTTTTCTCTTTCGGGTATTTTTTTTCTCGATTTTTTTTTTTATATATTTTCCGTTTATGTTTATATTAGGAGAAATTTGGAGCTTCCTGGACTATTATTGCCTCCAGTTTCCTCGATGAATACCAAAAAGACCATTACGAGGTGATGATCTATATTTGGGAGAAAAAAAAAGTTTTTTGTTTTGGGTAAATTGTTTACGACTTTTTAATTTACGAATTCATGTAATATAATGTAGTTCAAGGAGGAATGCAATACGGAAAAGAAAATTGCGTCAAAGCTGAAGTCTTGCTTAGAGAAATCCATCTTGGTGGAGAGTGAAGAAAAGCTTCGACGCAACCTGTTTGATCTTCTTCAGGCAAGTTTCGATTATGGAAAGTCTAGTTTCGTAATTCACGTTAGTCGAGCAAATAATATTTTTATTTATTATTATTATTATTCTATTGCAGAATGTAGTTCTTATTAGAGACCCGGAAGATTCAAAATCGTTTTACCCCCGTTTCAACCTTGAGGATACATCAAGCTTTAATGATTTGGATAATCACAGGTAAATAAAAAAAATAGTGGTAAATATTACCTTTTATTTTTTATTTTTTTTTATTTTTATTTTATGTTTTAATATATATATTTTTTAATTTGCAGCAAAGATGTAATGAAAAGACTATATTACGATTACTATTTCCAGCGGCAAGAAACTATGTGGCGTCAAAATGCACTAAAAACGTTGCCTGTTCTTATGAACTCTTCTGATATGCTGGCTTGTGGAGAGGATCTTGGCATGATTCCTTCTTGTGTCTACCCTGTATGAGATTACCTTTTTACCCTTTTTTACGTACTAATTATTTTTAATGGGTTTGAAATGTTGATTTGTCGCGTGACTTACTTTGATATAGGTGATGCAAGAATTGGGCTTAATTGGATTACGTATACAACGAATGCCCAACGAACCTGGTCTGGAATTTGGTATTCCTTCGCAGTACAGTTATATGACTGTAAGTTCCGTTTCGTAGTATTTTGTTACACAAATTTTATCTTTTTAATATATAATTATTATTTTTTCTGTTTTTTTCTTTAAAGAAATGATCGTTGCGATTAAAGGCTACACGTAATTTGTTACTATTTATAGGTAAACGCGCCGTCGTGCCATGACTGTTCGACCCTCCGTGCGTGGTGGGAAGAAGACGAAGAGAGAAGAAGCAGATATTTCAAGACTGTGGTGGGCGCTGATGTGGCGCCACCTGATAGGTGCACTCCTGAAATTGCGCACTTTGTTTTGCGCCAGCATGTCGAATCTCCGTCCATGTGGTCAATTTTTCCGCTTCAGGTATTTCAACAGCATTGCAAACTATTCTTTTTTCTTTCTTTTTTTTTTTCCTAATAGTTACTTATTTCCTGTTTAATGTTTTAAAATTAAAAGTATACTCACTATTTTATTTATTTATTCATTAAAAATAAATTTTGTACAGGATTTACTAGCACTGAAAGAAGAATACACGACGCGCCCAGCTGTAGAGGAGACGATAAATGACCCGACTAATCCGAAACACTATTGGCGATTCCGTATGCTCTCTCTCTCTCTCTCTCACACGCACACACACACACACACACACACACACACACACACACACAATACTAATTAGTAAGATTATCCAGTCATAAACTTTTGTTTTTTCGTTTCTTATTGTTGCATTCTTGTAATTGAGCAGGAGTACACGTGACAATGGAGTCATTGCTAAAGGATAGAGAACTTGTATCAGTTATAAAAGGTCTGGTCCGCAGTAGCGGAAGATCGTACCCTCCTTCACAGGACGATGAATTACAGCTGGAAAAACCGAGCGTAGAAAATGGGAAGAAAGAAGAAGCCCAATTCACTGCTTCTAAGCTTGCAAACAAAGAAGCAGTTACAGTCTGATTTTTTAATTTCTTGTTGCTGGCAATAATAATAAATCATTTTAGTCTATATATATATATACTTTTGCTTTACCATTTTATTCTCAAGAATAAATTAAGGTTAAATTATTATTTTTAACTATCAATGTAATTTGATTTGTTTTTCAACACAAGTTACCCCATTTATTGCTTCAAATGGTTTTTTTTTTTTTTTTTTTAACTCAAGGCCGGAAGGGATAAAAAAGAGGGTTAACTGCAAAAAATCCCCTAAACTTTGGACGTTTTTGTACTTTATCCCCTAAACGGGAAAAAGTTGCACGAGCATACCTGAACTCTATTATTCTCATCACCAATGTTCAAAATGTGCATTTCTTCTCGTGTATACGATTCTGGCACCGGTAAAATGAATGGTCGATTCTTACCGAAGAGGAACATATCCTATATAAATTTGTTTCTTTTATTTGATTTGTGTAACGAAGAATGCGCATATAGATGTCGTACATACTACATACTACATAAGGTTTGAATTTAAAGCGAAGGTTGTATTTTGTGACATTTTGCTCAATTCAGAATTATTAACTCAGACGATGGCTGTAATTATCCAAATAAGAGAGGTTTTTCGTAATTTAACAATATCTTGGGGTGCCGTAATTTGCCATAAATATTAATTTAATAAAAAATATTGAATAGAAGGGGTAAATTATACTACACCAACGGCTAGAATTGAAGCAATGAGACAAATACGATAGTAACCATCCAATCCATATATAATGAAAAACAGTTGGGCATTTTCCCAGAAACGTCGGGAGGTGGTGAGAGAAAGAAGAGAGAGAATTCTTTCACCCGTTTTTTTCTAGAGAGAGAAAAGAACAAAAAAAAAAAGGCATTTTCCAATTTTTTTTTTTAATCACCGTAGGCGACGGAGTAAATTTGCTCTCACGCTCGCCCGTTGCCGTTTCGTCTCCCTGGACGCCTCACCAGTGTTCAGAGTACCATTTCTTTTTTCTCCATTTTATTTCTCGTTTCTTTTTTTTCTGATTTTAATTTCTGATTTTCGAGATATAAGGAAATATGTGATTGTTCTGTTCATCCGACTCAATTTTGATTTCTGCTTCATATATATATATATATATATATATATATATGTGTGTGTGTGTGTGTGTGTGTGTGTGTTTGTGTTTGTGGTGAAATTTCAATTGACTATAGAAATTTTGAGGACAGAATCACAGAATAATCTCAATTTAAAGGCAATGATGCTCTTTTGTTCCACAAAGCAAAATTTGTGTAATGTTGGGATTTTTGTTTCTAAATATTAATTGTATGCTTCAATTTTAGTGTCAATTGGGGAAAAAAGAATTATGAAAACTGGGGAATTGACATTTTTATCCCTCCCCTGCAGTTCATTGTGGCAACTTTTAAGCGGAGGAGCGAGAGAGGGCCTTTGTAAGACAGAAGGTGACGTACATATATATATCGTGATTCGAGCACTCGTTCTTTCTATTTTTTCTCGTTTTCGTTTCACTCTATAGTTATTGGTATTTGGTACAAATTGCTGGTGTTTTTTATATACACTAGTAATTTGCAATTTTGTACTGAGCCATGAACGTAAACTGTATACGTATCTTCGACTTCGAGAAGCTTTAAGATCATATTGTTTGATATATTGTAGGTGTACGGAGATTAGTTTCACATTTCTAGTTGTTGATTTTTGCAGCTTCTTTTCGGTGAATTTGTAGTAAGTTTTTTTATTTAAGTTCGTACTTTTTCTCGTTATCCCTTTGTATTACGTTTCCGATTGATCAACTAAAGAGTTACACTTCTTGATTGCAGAAATGTGATGTCTAATCTCCCAAGGCAGAAATAAGTAAAAAAAAAAAAAAACCCCGTCTAAAAAGATCGTTTTTTAGCATGCACAACGAACACTCTCACCAAGTGAAGACTCGTCAAAATGGCAGTAGCCATCACTCAACTCCACGGAGGATTCAAGCCGCTACCCCGCCCCCCGAAAGTCGACCGCCAGTCCTTCACTCATCTTGACTTCCAAAAAATGCTCGACTTTCCTCTAGAACATTCCTTCAACTTGACCTACATCCACAAGAGCTTCTCCACTCCATGCCTATCCCACCCTTCTAAACTCGATGAAAACACAAAAGATTCCACAATCGAAATTATCGTGGGCAAAACTGCGCCACGTGTGCACACACTAGTGGTCGAAGTTGCAGTAGCTATGGCCTACGGCTTAAGCCCTGAGCCAGCTTCGAACGGGCTTAGTGGGGCCTACTTCTTGCACGCAGAAAACGGAGAAACTATAGCTGTTGCAAAGCCCGTCGATGAAGAAGCTGGCATGAAGAATTCGATAAGGGTAGGCGAAACGGGCCTTCGTGAATCGGCTGCTTATCTTCTTGACCACGATGGCTTTTCGGGGGTCCCGCCTACTGCGTTGGTCAAATTCTCTCACGTCGAATTCGATTTAACTAGGTCGAAATTGGATCGGCCCCCACCTTATAAAATCGCGTCGCTTCAAAGATTCGTGGACCATGATTCCGATGCGGGTGATTTGGGCCCATCTAGCTTTTCGGTTACTTCTGTGCACCATATTGGCATACTCGATGTTAGATTGATGAATCTTGATAGGCATGCAGGGAATATTCTTGTGAGGCAAGGAAGAAACGAGAAAGCCGAGCTGGTGCCGATTGATCATGGGTTTTGCTTGCCTGAGTCGCTCGACGACCCGTATTTCGAGTGGCTGCATTGGCCGCAGGCTTCGGTGCCCTTTTCCGAGGGCGAAGTTGACTATATATCGAGTCTTGATATGTATAAAGATGCGGAGCTTTTGAGGAACGAGCTTCCGTCTATTAGGGAGTCTTCGATTAGGGTTCTTATGCTCTGCACCGTGTTTCTCAAGGAAGCAACTGCTTACGGTATGTGCCTTTCCGACATAGGCGAAATGATGACTAGAGAGTTTCGTGGAGGGGAGGAGAATTGGAGTTCGTTGGAGAAGTTGTGCTTGATTGCTATGGGAGTAAATGACGATAATACCCCTCACGCCACAAAATGTATATCTTTCCAGGACTTGGATGATGAGGAGTGGGAGTCGTTTTTGGAGATTTTCGAAAAGCTTTTGCCGAAAGCTTTTGAGAAGAGAAAATCGGTCGGTTTATCGGAGTTTGGAAACTGATCGTAAGTATCGAATGCGTGTGTATAATAAGTAACGAGGAAAAGGGATAAGGCGAGAGATGCCATCCTTTCCGTTTAAGGCTATGTGTACCTATTATAGTTCCTTCTGTGTTATGTTCTGTTTTTTTCGGTTGTTTGTTTGTTTGTTTCGTACGAAGTTTATGTTCTAACCTCGGACTCGGTTTTTTCTATATAAGACCTTGTAAGGGTACTTAACTGTAGCAAAATATTGCATATTAGGATGAGTTGTGAAACAAGACAACCTATTACAATAGCTGCTTATATTAGGTATTTGTCCTGAAGTACTTTGTAGTTCATTAAATATGGGCAAATTGAACATCACCCCCTGTAAATTTCTACTTTTCGCACTTTACCCCCTCAAAATTTTAAAAAATGAATGTGTACATTCAAAATGTTATTTTTGTTGCACATTGCCCCAATAGAAAAACTACGGTGGATTATTCATTGGAACCAAGTATTTTGTTACACGTTGCCCCTTTAAATGTTATTTTTGTTGCACGTTGCCTCTTTAAAATCTTATTTTTATTGCACAATGCACTCCTAAAATTGGCTTTCGGGGCAAAGTGCAACCAAATTAGTATTTGAAAGGCTTAATTCCACTTTGCACCCTTAAAATGTACCATCTTGGCACTTAGCACGCCTGAAAATAATTTATGGCACTTTGCACCCTCAAAACATGTTTAATCGTCAAAGTGCACCCTAGTATATTTTTCGGCCATAATTTTCCGTCGTTAACTTATTTTTTTATCGTTAACATGGTCAATTTTTTCTATTCAATTGATTTTTTCTTCAGGATGAAAAGTGATAATGTATTTTCGAGCGAAAATGACTACGTTCATAGCCAGGAAATAGGTTAACAATGGAAATTCATGACCGAAAATAAAATAGGATGCACTTTGAACGATTAAACATGTTCCGATGGTACAAAATGCCATAAATTATTTTTGAGGGTGCAAAGTGCCAAAGAGTACATTTTAATGGTGCAAAGTGAAATTCAGCCTATTTCAAAGGGGGAGTATATCCTTTTCTGAACTTGTAGGGTAAAAATGCAAAAACGAGAAATTTATAGGGGTTGAAGTGCATTTTGTCCTTTAAAATATCTTGACTAATATTATATGTTATTTCAATTTTTCACGAAAAGAGTTAACGCGCCAATCATCGCGCGTGACCTAATTTTATTCCCACCAAAAGCCTCCAATAAATAACATAATAATTGAGCCCTTTCACCTTCAGCCCCAAAAAGCAACAATGGCGCACTACCAGTCAACGCCGGATATCTACATCGTTGACCACGAGTTGCCCTACGACAGCCACAACACATACGACGTCGTCTTCTTCTCCGATTCCGTCCACACAACCGTCACCCAGGACCCCACCATCGCCACCCAGTGGATCTCCGACGTCGAGTCCCTCCACCGCCGCCGCCTCAGCACCCTCATCGTAGGCCTCGACGTCGAGTGGCGCCCCTCCTTCAGCCGCAACATAACCAACCCAGCCGCCACGCTCCAGCTCTGCGTCGGCCGCCGCTGCCTGATCTTCCAGCTCATCCACGCGCCGTCGATCCCCTCCGCCCTAATAGGCTTCCTCGCGAACCCTAACTACACCTTCGTCGGCATCGGGATCAAAGCCGACATCGAGAAGCTGGAGGAGGACTACGAGTTCGGATTCAACACGAACACGGTCGATTTGAGGAACACCGCGGCGGCGGCGTACGGGAGGAGGGAATTGCTGAACTCGGGGCTGAAATCGCTAGCCCTAACCGTGCTGGGGAGAGAATTGGAGAAGCCGAAGCGAGTGACGATGAGCCGATGGGATAATCAATGGCTCACGCCGCCGCAGGTTCAGTACGCCTGCATTGATGCTTTCGTCTGCTTCGAAATCGGAAGGATTTTGAATGCTTCTTCTTCTATTGCTACCTCCACACCTGTATCTGCATCTGCTTCTTTCTGAAAATTCAAAGGTTAGATTTTTACCAGTATTCTTGAAACTTGAAAGGTTTGACTTTTGTTGACTTCTCGAACACTTGCTCTATTTTGTGAATAGACGATGATTTCGTCGTTTGGATTTCGTTTACTGAACTGTTTTGGAGTATGCCTTAGTTAGTGTGTGTGTGTGTGTGAAGATGCTAATTGATCTCTAGATACTTGGTGAATTCGAATCGAATGTTCTTTTAAGCCCCCGTTTTGTTATGAATCTTTGTCGTTTTTCGTTAAGATACTTGGTTTTCTCGTAATTTACAAACAAACTCAGCACAAAATTGAAGAGAAAAAAAATCGAAAGTTTGGAACTCGACACTCTATCTCGGGCTTAAGGAGGTCACGAATGTACCTTAATTGAATCAACATTGGCTTGTCCTTTTCTGTTTGATATAACGAAAATGACTTCTGCGTTACTGTGATAATTTACGTGAAGCTTTTATATGATCGATATTTGATTGCACGTAAGCATGCTCAGAAAATTGTACACCTCTTTATCACGATTAGGGAAAACACGTAAATACAACTTGGTACAAACACGTAAATACAACTTGGTACAAACACGAAATGTTTGGACAAGAAAATAAGGCTTGGTCGGCCCCGCTTAACTTATTCTTGAAATCATCGTGCTGAAAATTTTAGCTTCGTGTTTGGTGTACTCCCTCCGTTGATCTTTCAACTCCTTATGTTTGATCTTCACATCTCTGACAGTTTAATTCAAGAATTCAGATTCAACAACATTAGTATATGGATTCGAAAAGTGGTAAGAAAATAACGATTCGAAAAACGAAAATACGCAAACCTGTTGTTTGGATCAATGGATAGAGCCCGCTTAATATCTTCCTCAGCTTTCTCTAAATCCGATGTTCCCATGTACGCTTGTGATCTTCTAAACAGTGCTTTAACGTTGTACGGATCAAGTTCTAGTACCTGTTAATTACCGAAAATCTGCTAATTAATACCCTATTATTTTTTCTGCAATAGAATTGCAGATGAAGTAAGAGAGACTGAAAAAGTCGACCTTAGTGCATAGTTTCGTGACCTCTTTATATTCTCCGATTTTTAATTTGCAAGCAGCTTCGTTCAAGTAACACGATAGTCTCAAAGAATTCGCTTGGTTTTTTTGTTCGTCGCTGAAAGAATGGTTGTATTCGACGTATTTTGCAGCCTGCAAATATTTGAGAAAATTGACGGAACTATGTTAGTCCGAGGAACTATAACTAAGGATCTTGCATCAAATTTACCCTTTTTCTTTTTTCGTTTTTCGTAATTACTAATATTGATCTATATCGTAGCATAGATAGAGATCACATTCCTTGTCATACTTGTTCGACGCAAGCTCAAACTTTCCGTCTTTGAAAAGTATATTCCCATCATTCTTGTTGGTTTCACATTCACTTATTCTTTCTTGTGGATCCATCTTCCAAAAGGGCTTTTTCGTCTGCAACAATCAAATCATTTCAGTCTCGTTTTTTTTTCTTTTTCCAAAATTTGACTCTTGTAAATATAGAATGGAAATAGACCTCGAAGTCGATCAATTTGATTTCATACACCATTGGAGCTGCAAAATTCAAGAAATCGGCGCTGATTTTCACTATGGCTTCTTCTCCTTTCTTCATAGTCATTACTGCTCTATCCAATCCCCCATGGATTTTTTCTGCGGAGAAACGCGTCGAACGACAATTTAGCCCTATTTTTTATTTTTATTTATTTTTTGCATAATTTCAAGAACTTATTACACATATTGCACCTTCTGCACATATATATTCAAAGGGCTCTTCATCGGATCCTCGCCTTTCTAAAACCGTACCATCTTCAAGCTTACCGATGTAAACCACTACAAAAATCGATTTTTCAGACTTACATTAATGTCAAACAAAAAATGTCGGTTGAAATCAATTACCTTTCACGAGGGATCCTTCGTTAGGGTGATCGAACGCTTCTCCGTTTTTCGTTATTTTCTTTAAGATATTTTTATCTCCGGTGATATCTACTACGGTTCTCCAATTTACTAGTTCGAGATGAATGATAAGATTCGGACAGGTTGGAACAAGATCATCAATTTTTGAAGTCTCATCTTCACAATATATCAGACCATCTGCAAAATAACTAACCAAAATTGAGATTGGATTATTGTAATTATAACTTATTCAACAAAACAACCATATTTATATATATATATATATATATATATATATATATATATATATATATATATATATATATATATATATATATATATATATATATATATATATATATATATATATATATATATATATATATATATTCTTACAGGAGAATTTCACAGACAGCTCTGCTTTCTCTCCCTTCCTCATTGTTTTCACAGCTTTGCTCATAGCAGGACAGAGATGCCCTAATCAAAACGAAAACTATCGCCTAAATTATTATTATATTCCCGATGAACTACACAAAAGACCGACGAAAAAACGGTAAAAATTAAAAGAAAAATTCAACTCACCACTTATCAAAGAAAATTCCAAACCTTCTTCATCAGATTTAGAGATCACAACTCCATTCTCACATTCAGCAACATAATTTACTACAAGGTTAAACAATAATAAAAAAACGGGATAATGTTAACGGGCGATTTTGACTGTGAAATCAAGAATGTAATAAATACTATGTTTTATTTTTTACCGAAGACTTCGTCTGATTCATTGGGAGTAGCCCACCCCTTCCCTTCGCTAATTATCTTCTTAATTATTCCACCATCTCCACTAATATCTCTAATGGGGTACCAAGAAATCAGCTGTACGTCGAAAACGAGAGTCGAGTTTGGAGGAACTAAAGGAGGTGAGCCGATTTCACCATATCCCAATTCTGGTGGAATTGTGAAAATTGCTCTTTCGTTTTTTCTCATAGTAGCAATGCCTTCGTCCCATCCTTTTATAACTTCACCTGTCAAAATAATCACCGAAAAATAAAAAAAATAAAAAAATAATCTCCAAGAATTTTTTTTTCTTTTCGAAAATAATAAATATAGCAGAGGAAATACCCTGTCCTAATTTGAATCTGAAAGGAGTTCCTTTATCTCGACTCGAATCGAAATATTCCGCTCCTTGCAGGCTCACACTGTAATGAACTGGAGCAAGAAAACAGAGGAAAACACGTCTTAATAATAAAATAAACGCATTTTCGATTCTTGAATTATTTCTCAGCCACTCTAAATACTACAAATGAATCTTCGACTACCATAAAAATGAAGTATAGATCATCATCATCATCGAATTTTTCTTCACTTTCTCGTGGAATAAATATTCACAAATACGTACTACTAATATTAATATGAACATGCGTATAATTTTTTTTAATTATTTTTTATTTCGAAAGCCGAAGAAAATGTACCTTCAACTTCATCACCGGGGGTTGGAGTTTGCCATGAAATTCCTTTCTCGAGAATTCTTTTGCTCAGACCTTTGGGGCCAATGATTGCTTCGGGTAAAACCAAAGCTGCTTCTGTTATAGTGTGTAAGGAGATTGGTTTACTGCAAGAAATTGCCATTGTCGTTGTGTGTGTGTGTGTCTGTGTGTTTCTGGTGAGAGAGAGAGATAAGGGTGTGTGTGTGTTATTACAGTTTGTGTTGAAGATAAGTCGTTAGTTTGGTTGTCTTTCTGTTGAGATTTTTCTTTCAGTTTGTTAACTAACTTACAGACTGGGCCTCTGTTCAAGAATTTGGAGTTTTGGTTAAATTGCGCCTGAGCCCAATATATGTTTAATTAGTAAACTGAAGCCCAATATATTTAATAATAATTTAATTGAGTTTCATCAACCCATCAAAATGAAAAATTCGATAATATATTTCTGATAAAAAAATTCTTCAATTTAATTGTGGGTAAATTACAGATACACCCCTGATCTATGTTAAAATAACATTAAGGTCCCTATAATATCCGTAATTACTATCACCCCTGACACATTGTTAGAAACCCTAACGGAATAATGCATTGGATAAATTATTTCGTTAGGATTCTAACGTGCTATTAGAGTTTAGGAAACAAATTTAGTGCATATCGGTTCACAGGATAAGAAATTTTGGCTCCGGTAATTGTTTCAGGGGTGTGACAGTAATTACCAATAACCCAGGGAACTTAAAGCTATTTTAGCTCATCTCAAGGGGTGTAGGTTTAATTTTCCATTTAATTCAAGAGTCATGACTAAACTTTATCAATGATAAAACTGGAAAAACCCTTCATTTCAGTAAAGAAACCTCCTCTCCGCCGCCGCCGCCGCCGCCACCACGTAGCAGCGGAGATGGCACTGCATAACATAGATGTGATACCCCACCAATTACCCTTCGACACACACGAAATATTCGAGGTCTGCGTGTACAGCACCATGGTGCGCACAACCGTCACACGCGCCCCCGAGATCGTCTCCCAGTGGATCTCCGACGTGGTGTCCGCCAACAACTCCCGGCGCATCGGCAAGATGCTAGTCGGCGTGTGCGTGGAGTGGCGTCCATTCTTCAATCCGAGCACAAACAACCCGCCGGCGGCGACGCTCCAGCTCTGCGTCGGCCGGAGCTGTCTCGTCTACCATCTGAATCCGATTCACATCTCCGGCGGCGGCGGCCCCACCATCCCCTCGTCTCTGGTGAATTTCCTGGCAAACCCTAACCACACTTTCGTCGGGATCGGCGTGGAACAGGATGTGGAAAATCTGAAGCGGTGTTATTCGATTGGGTACGGGATGAAGGCGGTGGATCTGAGGAATCTGGCGGCGGCGAGGTACGGGATGAGGGAGCTGGTGAGTGGCGGGTTGAATGACGTGGCGACGATGACGGTGGGGATGGATGTACGGAAGCCGGAGGGTTTTTCGCTGATGGAAAACCAGTGGATCACCCCCAATCTACTCTTTGCTTGTATTGATTCTTTTGTTTGCTTTGAAATTGGCCATTTTTTTAATGCTTCTTCCTAAAAATATTTAATAAATAAATAAAAATTGGTACTAAGGTAATAAGATTTTGTTTGTAGACCATTGAAAATTAGATGCTACACTTTACTGAATTTGTGAGTTTGAATTGTAAATCGGCACATAATCGCACACATATATGTATTTGTGCTTAGTGGATGGTTATTTAATCAAATTTGCTGTTCAAAGCCATCTGATGTAAATAAACAAGTGTAACAACATCTAACTTCCCGTTATGGATTGTGTTGTACTGTATTTCTTATTGTGGAATTAGATGTTCTCTCGAAGTAAATCTAAAGCCTTGTTTGGTTCTCAAGATAAAAAAAAGAAGAAAGAAAAAGTTGTATAATCTTACGAGAATGCAACTATATAATTGAACTAGGGAAGGCTACAAGCCTACAACACTACATAATTCCTCAATAAGCCAAGATAAGATAAGAACTCGTTGTTTTTAATTGCAGATCAAGATATAATTGCACTAATCATTCAAAGAATCAAGATTGTAATTCTTTGCAATCTTGATTTTGTGAGTGGGATTTGTGAATCACACGTCAGCATGTATTGTCTAAAAGAAGAAACAAATAAATTAAAGTTGACACAAATTTTCATTCAAAATGGCCACAAAGAAAACCACTCTCTCCAAACATTACAAAAACAAATACAAAATAAATCAAAACCAAACAAAACTATCTTAATTTCTAACAAATCATTTTAATTAAGATTTTGGTTCCTCTAGGGCTGTCATAGGAAAAAACATTTTATTATTTAATTCATTTCTCTGAATTTCACCACAATTTGCTTCAATATCTTCATTCTGATTTTCCCCTTTGCCAACTTTCACTATTTCTTGAATTTCCTCTGCTTCTTTTTCCTTAAACTCTTTGTATTTTCCCCACAAAACAGAGTACAGCCCAATCACAATCAATACTGCCCCAAGAACCCTGCATGCATGTATTTTCAAAAAAAAAAAAAATTATTTATTATAAATAGACATTTTTTTTAATATATATAAAAAAATATTCTTGAATTATTGAAAATTACCCTCCCAAATAAATATTCTCAGCCAAAATAAAAGATCCCATAATTGCCACAATAATCATCATTAGTGGACTAAATGCAGTAACAAAGACAGGCCCTCTTTTCTGCATCACAAGCCCTTGCACATAATATGCTATGCTTGATGACACAATACCCTGCATGCACCATCACCATATATTAAAATTAATTAAATAATTAATTCTTGTTAGTTAATAAAATTAAAATTTTCTTACAGCATAGGCAGCTGCTAGTAGGTTCATGTCAAACCCAATTTTCCATGCATCAGTTTTGTGCTCCATCACAAGTGTGACAGCAATTGATTGCAGTGTTCCCAGGAAACACACAATTGCTGTTAGTGAAAGCTGTGCTGTGTATTTCCTCAATGTGATTGCCTATTTAATTTCCACAATTTCAATAAATCAATATATATATATATATATATATATATATATATATATATATATATATATATATGTATATTTAGGGTAAATTACGAAAAAAAAACCTGAACTTAGGCTAAATAATGAAAAACACCCTCACTTATTTGTAATTACCAAAACCCCCCCAGGTTAATTGATCGTCTTACACCAACCCCTTACAGTGTCACTTCTCACGGGTTTTTTTTCTCTCTAATTAAGGAATAGACTTTACAATTTCAGATATTTTCTCTAATTTCTCACCTATTTAACAGAAGTTATAATAGACCTTACATTTTTTCTGTTAAAAAACTCGATCAACTAGTTAATCAGAGGAGGAATTTGGTTAATACGAATATGTAGGGTGTTTTTCATTATTTAACCTAAGTTCTGGGGATTTTCATAAGTTACCTATATATAATATATTAATATATACCTGAAGAATGAAGAAAGAAGCCCAAGCAAGAGTGGCAAGAATGAGAAGAATGGAGCCCATCAACCAGTCCTTGTCAGCATTTTGAGGAGTACTAGGATTATTATTGTTTGACCGAGGATGAATGTAGTTTGACCAAAACATGTTTATCACGTGCCCTTTGTACACAGTCATCAGCATTGCACCTGCAACTGTTACTACTGTTCCAATCACTTTTGCTTGACACCTCACCTTCTTAATATCCACCTTCTCCATCCTAAAATTAAAGACACACAATAATCATTTTAATTTTAAATTCCTTGTTTTTTCTAATGAATTCTTTAGTTATATATGTGTGTGTAATGTGTATGTATATATATGTATACCTGCAGAGAACTGCCATAACAAATGTCATTGCAGGTAGCATGTTACTCATGGCGCACGAAAACGTCGGCGAAGTGTATTTCAATCCGGCGTAGTAGAAATTCTGATCAATCACCGGCCTGAAGTGATCATAGAAATTAAATTAAAATAAGTGATTCTTGATTTTAGGATATAGGAAATTTTTTTTTTTTTTTTTAAATTTAAAAAAATAAGAAGAAATTAAACTCACCCAAGAAGGCCCAAGACAAAGAGCTGCATGAAAATAGTGAATGTAATCTTTGGCCTAACTTTCCTGCAAATTTTCATTATTAGGGTATAAGAAAAAAAAAGACATGCATATATGCATGCATGCGTGGAGAGGGTAATCGAGTTGATTTGAACGGGACGTTAATTACCTTTCGAGGAGAAGAGCGAAGGGAGCGATGGCGGCGGTGGCGAAAGCGTGACGATAAACGACTAAGACGTAGTGACTCATGCCGCTGTTGAGTGAAACTTTGGTGATGATGTTCATACCAGCATAACCAAATTGCAAGCAAATCATGGCTATGTAGGGTTTTGCTTTTTCCATGAAATTCCCTTTTTTTGTATCCATTTTCTCTTTGTTAATAACTTAATATATATATTATTGTAAGTCTATTTTATAATAATAGTTAAGTGAAAGGAGAAATAGTAGTACTAATTAATTGTACTATATAGCTAGAGAGGAAAACACTTGTAACTAAGAGGTGTTTGTGTTAGTCCTAGGTTATCTCAATTCTTGAAACTTGCATATTTATAAGCACTTTGGCTGGTGTGTGTGTGTGTGTGTGTGTGTGAGAGAGAGAGAGAGAGAGAGAGAGAGAGAGAGAGAGAGAGAGAGAGAGAGAGAGAGAGAGAGAGAGAGAGAGAGAGAGAGAGAGAGAGAGAGAGAGAGAGATGGTAATTGAATATTCGGATTTTGTTTGTATATATGTATGTGCATTGTGTGAGTGTTTTCATATTGTGGAATCATTAATCAGAATTAATAATCTATTTTTGGGTGGGTTCCATTTGCTTTTTAATTTAATTTATTTAATTGATTAATTAATTCTTGATAGTGGGCAAGTGATTTTAAAAGTGATAAAACAAAGGTGAGTTAGTGCATGCAAACCTCTTATATATAAGGTGGTGGGATCCACGTATTGATATTAAATATATCAGCCCCTACGCGGCACTCCGACGCCTTTGCTCCGCCGCTGCGGCGGCGGTCTTGGCGTACCCAACAATTAAAATTGATGTGTGACTGACTAATATAATATAATTAGCTAGCCTTTAATTGCAAAACTTTTAATCCAAATTGCTTAAGTAATTTCCACTAATATAATAGCTAGCCCATGACATGATTGAATTTGGACGATGATTAAACAACTAGAGTTGATGTGGTAGGCAACCTAGCAATATCAAGATAACATATAAAAAAAGTTCAAATATATATAAGATGATTTTTCTTTCTATATATGCTCATGCTTTGTTTAAGTGTATAAAATTAAAACGCCTTTAGATGAATTCAAGTACGTAATTGTTTGTTATTTATACGAGAGTACTGTAGATTTAATTACCCTAGTGCATCTATACACAGTTAGCTGTAGGTTCATTCATTACCAAAACAAAAATAGACGA